AATCTTGACACTTTTAAAGTCTTTAACCAAACAATTTAGAAATCTCGCTTTTTTTAATACCACTTATTTAATATCATTTAATAGCCAATAAACCCACATAATGCAGAGCATCAAGTCTCTCCACATTCCTTTATGAGCTTTCTTTTTTGTTGCCGTCTTTTCTTGAGATTCTGTTATTAATTTATTAATAGTTTTTGCCACCAATGGTGAGCACAAAAACCCGTTGTCGTTACTCTATTGACTGGTCATGGGTTTTTGTTTATCATGAAAATTCTAAATGGCATGCTCATGTCATTTACTAATTTTTTATTGCCACGAAGCGCCAAAAAGCTGAAAAGCAAGTTCGCTGCTGATGCCGCTCGGCAAAGACCTTGACTTTCTTTTCAGCAAACACTACGAAACATTTATTTATTTATATATAAAACATTTCTACGAGTCAGCCTGACTACAATTAGCCGGCCATAAAAAAAGATGGAACGGGGACTGAACTGGCACTGGAGTTGAAAAACTCCAAGTTACATTGAGCATTTATTTTGAAAGCAAAACTGTTTGTTTATGTGTAGAAAGTCAAAGTCGAAGAGTTGACAATTCGCTTTGTTACTCATTCACTCGCAGTTTCTACGATCCCGAGACATTTCACTTTATATGTGTGCACTTAGAATAAAATCGTCAAGTTCAAGAAAACGATCACTTTTGAACTTAAGATTCTTAAATTCAGAAACTATAATTATGTGCAGAGAAGCCCATATATTAAGAGAACAAATAAGAAAAGAAACCAGGTAACATCAGTACATTAATTATAGTTTTGTAAGTCAAATGGGATTTCATCACTGACTGTACATTCATGCAAATTCTAGAGTTTTAGACTCTAAAATGTAAAGCCATGAAATTTGCAAGAAATCGGCGGATATCCATTTCGAAGCCAAACAAAAGACTCTCATAAATTCCTGACCTCTGAGATTTGGCTCGAGCTCGGCTTTTGTCTACAGCCGGAACAATGGCAAATCAATTAAAGCTTGCCGCCTGGCCAGTCAACTTTTGTCTGCTGCCTTCCGCCTGAACATTTATCACTTATGGATAGAGCACTTCACTTTTTTTAGCCGGCTTACGCAGGCACAGGCGCAGGTAACTCGTTTTCACCTCAGCCATCACCTAAAACACACATTTCAAGGCAATAAAATATGTTTGGCCATGCAATTCTCCGTCTGCGTCTTCATGTGCGTCTCCTACTCCGTCTGTGTCTGCGTTTGGAAGTGCACTCCTGCGCGTGTCTGCACAAAATGCATTTCCATTTCGTTTTGTTTGACTCTCGGGCGCTGTTTATTTTGAGTCTCGCTGGGGAATGTTGACCGTGCATGTCATTCGCATTTAGTTTTGAAAGTTGTTTGCTTCCTGCTGCTCCACGTCGCGGCACTTTTGCGATTTTAATTAAAAACACATCACCTCGGGACTCTTCGGCTCTGGAAGGCATTTAATTCAGTCAAACGGCCGACACTAAACTGAGAGTGAAATTTAGGTGTGATTGAGGATAACGAAAGGTCGGTGTTAGCAGGACAAAATCAATCAATATCTACCCTATGCAACGGCCACTTTAGGCGCACTTGGCCCAGTTTGTGCGTTGTAAGAAGCACATTGAGTGCCCATTTGCACTTGAATAGCCATAGAAAGGAAATCAAGTGGCAAAGGATGGCGAAAATGACAAAAGCACAATGCCTGGCAATTGTACAATTGAAAGCGTTTGAAATTCAAGCATGGCGCCAACATTTGGTATTTAAATACCAAACACTTATCGATTAAACTAAATGGATCTTGTCTTAAAGTCTGGCAGCTCAGTTTTATTGGCCTTCATGGGTGCTTATCAGCCTTTTTTAGAAATTAAATGAGTTTTCTTTTGAAAGCCGCATTCTGCCAAGTAGTTCCAGGGCTCCAAACCAGAACGACTACAATTTAAACGGCGAAAAGTCGCTTCGGACTGTTGGCGCCGCAAAGAGAGCCAAATTCTGTCTGGCAACGACAATATTTTGTAAATATTGTTCATGTCCGTCAAAATAACGTCTATGAGTTAGCGTGGAAGTAAAACGGTGGGAAAATTGGACATGAAGGGGATATTTAATTTTTAATTTATTTCGTATTGAAGGCACTAATTCGAATAAAATAAAGTTTTAAAAATGTACAAAATGTTTACTGGGTTTAAAAGAATTTGACCTATGAATATATAAAAAAAAGTATGTGAAAAAATGTGTTTTCACGGATTTCTTAATATCTTGACTAATGACATACCCGATACGTCAAAACAAAAAACATTTATCGTAGTTTTACCCTATCAAGTTTAAATTTCTTTAAACTGTCAGTTTTAAAGCAAATCGCATAACAGTAATCTAACCTCGGGGTCGGCTCCATACAAAATAAGGCATCCAAAATAGTGAGACTTATAACTTCGATTTACGAACGCGTAGAAATATGCACGGTATATAGGCTTACTAGGGGAAGATTAACGAATATTTAGTCAAAATTTCAATTTCAAATTCAAAATAAGGCGCGAACTATGAAAATGGAACCAGATGGGAACCAGCAGAGAACCACTCGCTGAGCCGGACCATAGAAACATGTTAAGAAAAATCCTTAATTATATAAAAAAGCAAATTGTTAAATAAAACATTAAGAAAAGTGACTGCCCAACAATTTGGTGGGATTTTCATCTAAATCAGGGAAAGTTACCTATTTCGTTCGTTTTAGTTTATTTTAGTATATACCACGGCGGAATGTTATGCCCCTCCCCGACAAGGACAATCGACGCTAACTTTTACAAAAATCTTAAGTCCCTTAATGAAAGCGTTCAAACTTGCACGGTACCTCAAACGATAGGGAAAATATTCTATAATTTTAAATTAAATCTCTATTTAATCTAGCCCACAGATTTCTAAAAATTAACGTTTTCTTTTTCCGATCTCATTCACAAACACTGGCTTCATATCGATGGGGGCGCCTCCCACACCCTATCGATAACTAGCCCGCCAGAAAATATTCTTATTGACCATTTAAACAATTGTATAAAATATGCATGCCCCATGAATGGAATTGACATTCCAAGCATTTTGGTAAATGTTTCATCAAAATCCGTTTAGCCGTTTAAGAGGAAACAACACTTTTAATTTATTTCCATAAATGTTCCTTCGAAAAATAAAAATATCTGGCAGCACTGTCTGCCTAAAATTAAGTCACTTTGATTTAAACTTTATTAAATATACTTTTTCAAAATGAAGATCGTAACATTAATGGGATCGCAATCCTGAACATTTTGATCCATGTTTCGGCAAAATCCGTTCAGTCGTTAATGAGAAATCCCGACTTTTTCATTTATTGCCGTAAATGTATTTATCTAGGTCTAGTTTGTTTATAATTGAAGAGACAGACAGTTGGACATGGCTAGATAGACTCGGCTGTTGATCCTGATCAAGAATATATATACTTTATAGGGTCGGAAATAATTTATTCACAGCGATGCAAATTTTTGACCTGAAATCATATTCCGAAGCAAGGACATTGAAGCACTAGATTTGAGAAACAAATTTGCGAAATAACAATTAACAGTCTGCACAATAAAGGATATCGTTATTCTAAGCAATTTGGTAGATGTTTCATCGAAATCCGTTCAGTCGTTTTGGAGAAATTAACATTTGAATTACTAATTTATATACTAAGGAGGCATGACTATGCACCCCTGGTACCAAACTGCAATAAATAAAAAGTCGGTATTTCTCATTAACGACTGAACGGATTTTGATGAAACATATATCAAAAAGTTCAGAACCACGATGCCGTCTATAGGACAGTCTTCGTTTTGCATACGTTTAACCATAAAGTTGAAATCAAGTTTTCTTGCTTTTTAGGCAGGCAGGGCTGCGGGATATATTTATTCTTCGCTGGCACATAAATGGAAATAAATGAAAAAGTCGGGATTTCTTATGAACGACTGAACGGATTTTGACGAAATGTGGATCAAAATGTTCAGAATTGCGATGCCGTCTATGGGACAATCTTCATTTTGCATAAGTTTTTTAAAAGCATTTAAATCAAATTGACTTAATTTTAGGCAGACAGTGCTGCCAGATGTTTTTATTCATCGAAGGAACATTTATGGAAATAAACGAAAAAGTGATGTTTTCTCTTGAACGGCTGAACCGATTTTGATGAAACATCTACCAAAATGCTTGGAATGTCAATTCCATTCATGGGGCATGCATATTTTATACAATTGTTTAAATGGTCAATAGGAATATTTTCTGGCGGGCTGTTCATCGATAGGGTGTGGGAGGCGCCCGTGGTATATACTAAAATTATCTAAAAATAACGAAATAGGTAATTTTCCCTGATTTAGATGCAAATCCCACCAAATTGTTTTGAATGGCTTTTCGATTTATTGGGCAGTCACTTTTCTTATTGCTGAACAACAATTGTTTCAACAATTTACTATTTTTATTTAATTTAGTATTTTTTTTAACATGGTTCCATGACCTGGTTTAGCGAGTGGTTCTCTGCTGGCTCCCATTTGATTCTATTTTCATAGTTCGGGCCTTAGCTATCAGCCCAAATCTAACGGTTAAAAACAATTGAAATTTTCACAAAAAATATATTAATAAGCTTATCTACCGTGCAAGCTTTACAATTTTGTATGCATTATTTTGTATGGAGCCGACCCCGAGGTTAGATCACTGTATCAAGTATCGCGCATTGCTGCACGCTTTTGATTAACCGAGATATTAAGTAATCGGTGAAAACACGATTTTTCACATGCATTTTTTTCAAACACAGTAAAAAACAATAGTAAATTCATTTTTAGCATTTAAAAACTTTATTTTATTCGAATTAGTGCCTTATTTACGAAATAAATTAAAAATTAAAGATCCAAGTTAAATTTTCCCACCGTTCTATTTCGACGCTAACTCATCGACGCTATTTTGACCATTCATGTCGAATGGTCGAATTTTTGGCTACTCTAGCACCTGGTCACATTACCATCAACTTCGCAGCAAAAATTAAAGCACAGTTTTTAAGAAATATAAATTTTTGCTTTAATGGTATAACCGTTCAAATAAAGTTATCCAAAAATGGCCAGCACATCTCGTGCCGCCAGAAGTCAGAATGCGAACTTTTCGCAGGCAAGCCGGGACATTACGGAAGTGGATGACAAAGTGCGCGCCATTTTAAACTACATTCTTGATCACTCCGCGGAACAGATTCCCATAAAGGAGAAGGAATTGGTCACAGCGGCGGGCGACAAGAGCGAGCTGAAGATACGACTACAGCTGGTCACCGAACTGCTGGCCAATCGATTCGGAATTATATTTAAACAGTTGGATACGGCCCCCAAGTGTTATATCTGTACTTCGGAGACTGCGATGGTCTCCATTCACGAACTGACCGCTGCACAGCGACCTCAGATAACTCTGCTCTACATTATCCTTATGTACATCTTTCTGCGCGGCAATAGTATAGAGGACACCAAACTGTACGGAATGCTGGAGCTGCTGAATATCAAAGTGGACGAGGAGCACGGATACTTCGGAGCCAATTTGCGGAAGCTTATTGAGGAAACGTTTGTTAAGCAGCAGTACCTTAAGCGGGAGCGTTCCCAGCTCAGCGCCTACGATGATCCCAAAACCTTCCTCCTTTGGGGTCTGCGCGCCAAGGCGGAGATCTCCTATGAGCAGATCGTGCAGTTCGCTGCCAAGCTGCTGAATCAAAGCCCCAGAAACTTTGATCATCAACTGGCCATGGCCCAGGCGTCAGAAAATCCAGAGCCGTAAGGACCGGGACCCGTTTGAATAAACATAAGTACAAATGAAATCTGCATTGTGGATTATTCTTAAGACTACATTTAATTCACAGGGAAAATAATGCTTATTCTAATACTTGGCATAGTCTGTGTCCATTATGAGCTTGCCATCTTTGTCCTTCAACCGCACACGTCCGTTGGAATAGCGCGTCTCCTGGCTGCCATCTGGATATACCAATTTAACCGTGCCATCGGGATATTCTCTTCGCTTATTGAGTTTCGTGTGGATCTCCTTTTGGCCATTGGGCAGATTTAGAATCTTGTCCCCGTTGCGCATCTGCACCAAGTGCGTTCCATCCGCATAGCGCCACTCCTCCAGTTTCTCGGTATGGCTGGGATCCACTATCTTGATGCTGTTGTTGGGGAAATGAACCTCAATTGTGCCATCCTTGCGGCGATGTTCGGTCTGCCCGTTGGGGAACTCCAGTATTTCCAGACCATCTAGGTAAGAGGTGTGCCAGGTGTTAGTCTCCGCATAGTAATACTTCACAGTGCCCTCTCTAATGTCCGTCTCCTTGATGTCTTTGTTAAAGTACAGCATGCGTATATTCATGCCACAGGCACTGATCTTCTTGAGGTTGCCATTCGGATACCAAATGTCCTTGCTGCCATCATCGTTTACAATCTCCCGCTTGAAGTCGGTGGTGGAGTTGGCATTAGCGGGGGAATTCTCTGCACCAGCTGGTGCTGGTGGTTCCTTAACCTCTTCCACCTCCCCAGAGCTACTGGAGGATGCGAAACTGTCCTCTTCAAGCGCCTCCGACTTATTTTTAGATCTGCCAAGAGAACGACTTCGACTCCTTACTTGACAACTACTACCGCTGCTCTGGCGGCGTTTTGACGGTTGCTCTCGCTGCTTTGAGGCCGGCTTACGACCTGGCGCAGTGCCATCAAGAGACTGCGTCCGACGTCCGTTCTCATCAAGGGGTTGGGAAGTGGAAGTGGAAGGAAACTGAAACGAGAATCTATAGTTTATTTTTGGATAACAGATGCTAAGGTAGAGGATGTGTACGCACCACCTTGGGCGCTAGCCTTGCAATGTTTCTATTGATCTCTTGCAGCATTTTGCTGTTGTTCTCGCGGCCTATCTTGACCAGCTCCTGCTCCAGTCGCTTGTTCTCCCTGCGCAGCAGTTCGATCTCGTCCCTGTAGTTGTGCTGTTCCTTCTCTGTGGCCCGCAGCTGAGCACGAAGCCTTGCCTGAGCCGACACATGGGTCTGATCCTTCTGTTTCAGCTGCAGCTGCAGTGCCTCCACCTCCTGCTTCAAGGCGGCAATCTCCTTCTTCTCCTTGGTATTGGCATTGCTCTTTTGAAGACGCATCTGCTGTTCAAACTTGCGTCGCTCCTCCTCGATCTTCATGCGCTCGTCGTGCAGGTATATCTCAGCCTGGATCTTCTCATCGTGAACGCGTTCCATGGCCTCCATGTGATCCTGGGCACATTTTGCCTTATCCAGCTCATGCTGCTGCTTCAAGCGCATTAGTTGGGTGTTTTGCTCCTTAAAAGCTGCTATCTCAGCCTCTAGTTCCTCGAGCCGGATGCGGACGAGATTGGCCTTCTCCTGCAGCTCCTGAGTGAGTGGCTCTTCCTGCTGCTGTCCCGGACTAGTCGCTTTCTTCTTTTGCTCCAAAGCCTGGAAGAGGGCGGACTTGAACTGCTCAAACAGTTGGATATTGGAGCCATCGTTAAGGCTGGTGGCATCGGAGTACTCGTGGGTGTCATTAGAGTCAGAAAACCGCACTCGTACTTGCGTCTTGCCCACCTGAATGGGCGTCATGGAATGAGTTAGAGTCTGATCACTGGATGGTTCCTCGTTTCCGTCCTCCTCCGCCTCGTCCTCGTCATCTAACTCGTGAATCAGTACCTGGTCTACCTGCGGCTGCAATCGCATTTGCTGCACCTGCTGTGTGACCACAATTTGGTCTGTGTCATCAGCAAGGTTTCGCCGGTGTTCCTTCCGCGCCATGAATGTGCGTATGCAGCTCGAATTCATGTCGATGTTCCCCTCGCTGGCCTTTTGCTCCAACAGCTCGAAGATGCTAACGTTGCTATCGTCCTCTACTCGAATTTGTGCAGAGCGCCTTTGAATTAGGGGTACGGGCTTTATATTTTGGGTATCCAGCACCTTGGCCCAGCACACACCCGTCAAGGGACTGGCCTCTGAGGAAGCCTCGTCATCCGCATGTCCTCCCTTGCTCTTCTGCTCTACAAATCGAACTCTTGGCGAGATGCTGGAGGCAGATGTGGAGGATGCGTAAGAAGACTTAAGATCCGGAGTAGAACTACAGACGTTCTTAGAGCTGATTAGCACCTGTTGGAATCGTTGCTCGTTGAGATCAACTTTGGCTGGTGGCTTAAGAGGAGCAGGAGCAGCGACAGGAGCTGCTGCTGGATGTGGAGGCGGTCCCTTCTTGAGGATGCTCTTCTTTACCTGTGGCACCCGAAACTGGGGATGAGAATTGGCGTACTTGTAACGGGGCAGGTTGTCGAGACGTAGTTGGTCAGGATTAATTTTAAAGCGCTGCTTCAGACCCTCACCACGACGCAGGAAAGGACGCTTGGGCTTGGCAGGCTGGGGACTGGCCATGTTTTTCTGCAAGTCCTGTTCCTCCTCCTCCTGCTGCTCGTAGTCCGCAAGGCGTGGCATCTGAATAGAGGGATCGTCGTCCCACGAGCCCTCCAGCACGCTGGTGTCCCTGCTTTCCACCTCTTTGTGCAGAAGACCCAGCATTTTGTACATATCCCGCTGCTCTAATCCGAGCAAGACGCGCTGATTGTTCTGCCGCTCGGCCAGCATCCGCTTCTGCTCCTCCTGCCAAAGATTCAGAGCCGCCAGACGCTTCGAGATGGTCTCCTGGCTAGCGGACATTCCACTGGGACTGGCGTCAGCTTCCTGCATGCTAATTTCACATTTAATTGCTTATTAAAGTCAATGTTTTGGTAGACGCTGTACGCATATAGGAATTTAAAAGTATGAAAACAGTGTTGCACAACGTCGCCGTACTGCGACCAGGGCTGGGGGCTCACTACCGGCATGAAGACAATTTGGTAATTTAATCAATCTTATTTTTTATTTACATTTAAAGCAATATACGCCACGCCTTAAAATTAATAATTATATATTTTATTCATCCCGTTCGCCCTCCTCTGGTTCATCAAAGTCACGAACTTGCACGTCGGCATCCTCACCAAACTGCAGAACATTGTCGATTTGCAGCAAAAGATCACCCATGCTCTCCTCATCCTGAGAGTCCAGTGGAAAGAAGCGCACCAAACTAAAAATAAGAAATAACACAAAATTAATACAAATTAATTCATTAATAATTGTAAAAAAAAATATATGACACATAACTAAAGGTTGACAAGTGGCAACCCCCAACGCCATCACGTAATCGTCAGCCCTGGCATCTCACACACAAAAGCATTTTTCGACGCATCGCAAAAAGAAAATGTGCTTGTGCAATTAAATAAAGCCGAAAAAACTAAAAATAAACCCTAATTAGTGCATCTAACTGCATAAATTCATTACATATGCAAGAATTCCGGTTTTTGCCAAAAGCGCGCGAATAGTGAGCTGATGAAAAACCACCAAAAAATCCCAACCAACAAATCCCAGGCATCACACACAAAAATCGCCTAATTTACGATACAAAACACTTTTCTGGTAAACACCAAAGGAATTCAAAAAATGGAAACCCCGGTCGAGGAGCACGGCATGGACCTCTCCAAGGTCTCCGTAGTGCGTTCCGCAAAGGGCGTGGACATGCTCTGCGTGGACGACTATCTGTACCACTTCGATCGAATTGGCAAAAACAACACCTACCGCTGGCTGTGCAACCGGCGTAAGGACAAGTCCACCCCCTGCAAGTCGCGCATCTGCACACTGCTGCCTAATCCGATGGACAAGACGCGCCACGTCGTCGTCGACGTCGCCCTGGCGCACATCCATCCGCGATGCAGTGACCATGAAGTGAACAAGGTGTCCCAACGCAAGCGGCTGGCTGTTATGAAGAAGAACGATGCCTACAGTACCACGCAGCCAAAGCGGGCGCGCCAGTACGAGCGAGCCAACGCCGGCATGAACCCGCCGGAGTTTATCTTAGGCGGCATTGACACCTCCGCTTTGGAGTCCTCTTTTCAACTGGACTTTGAGGTACATACGACCCCTGTGTCAGCCGGTGTTTGGTCTTTTATGCCCCTTAAATCCTATGGTTTTGGGTATTTTTGGGAATTACTTTTTACAATGAATTCATTTTCATGAATCAATCTTTATAAAAGCCTATAATTTAGATACAGATTCTTTTTAGCGTAAGAGCTTGGCCACATTTATATAATAATGTGGAGAAGGAAGAAATTGTTACACTAAAACTATGGGAAAACATGGAACAAAATTTGAATCAAAGAATTATGATCATGATTCTTGATAGAATTCCCCCTAGCGTTACAGCTTAACTCGATTTTTAGAATAACATATTTCTACCGTTATTTATCCTTAAATTTAAAACCAAACAAATGCAAAACGTATACTCAGAAAACTTCTTTTACCAGGACAAGGACCGCGTGTATATGCTTCGACGACGCGATGGCCGCGTGATGGTCTGTATCGACGGGCACCTTTACTATTTGGCTGGGAAGTCGTACAAGGGTGACATCTATCGATGGACATGTGTCCGCATGCGGGATATTGAGTGCACGGCCAAGATCTGCACGGAGGCAACTCTGGCGGGCGCTCATCGACTGCACGCCATCGAGTCCGATGCCCACATACATCCGCACTATTCGGCCGTCAAGCTGATGCACATGTTTGCCAAGCATCAAATCGTCCTAGTGGAGGACGAGCAAACCTCGGACGTGCTGGCTGAGTGTCCCAATCTAGAATATTTTGATCCGGAAAGCACATTGGACTCTACCCAACGCAATGAGGATTGTGAATCGATTATAATCGAGGAGTGCGAGGACAACTACGATGTTTACGTGAGCACGGAGGAAGATCAAAGTGGCGAAATCCATGAAGAAGGCGAAATACATGAAGGCGAGGTGGACGAGTCTTCAATTGTTGCGCAAAAGCATGAACCCAACAGCAAGTGGCCAGCGGCCCATGATGTGATTGCCAACTATCTGCCGCCGCCAGGCTACAATCCCCTCACTGAGTCTGACTTGACCAAGTTTACCTTTCTGCCATCGGCAAAGGGTCGTAAGGTTTTGTGTCTGAATAAGTATCTATTTCACTTTGATTCCCAGAGCAGGTCGAATGGCCACATGTTCTTCACTTGCATCAATCGACGTGACAAGACCAACACTTGCCATGTGCGCGTCACCCTCGATCCGGTCGAGAACGGACCTGTAGTAATCCGAATCAACGGAGAACATACACACAGGCCAGACATCAAGGAGGTGGCCCGTCGCCTCAAGCAGCAGGCAAAGCTGGATCAGGATATTTCGCCCGAACTGCAGCACAAGCTGGCCAAGAGTGACATTGGTGATGATGCTGAATTCGAGAGCGACGAAGGATCCGCTAGTCAGGGTGGCGAGACCTTTGAGCCAGACCATAGCGTCGATGGCAGTTACGAGCAACTCCAGGAGTCGGGAAACAACGTTGTCATGAAGAAGGTGATCAGCATTGATGGAGCCATCAAAATGGAACCAGATTCCAAGGCCAAAATGATTGTGCAGTATCTCAAAGACGACGCCGACAACATAAGCGCCAAGATCGAGATACTTCCCGACGCACTTCATGGGCTGGGCACGCAATCCCGAGGGGCATTTTCGTCAACGCCAAAGGTACGCCAGCCCGAGATTACAAACATTCGACGCAGGCGAGATGTCGTTGAGCCGACGAAGAGCGCCCAGCCGGACATGGATCTCACCAAGATCTGTACTCTTCGGTCGGCCAAGGGTCACGAGCTGCTCTGCGTTGATGGTTACATCTACCATGCCAAGAATCGAGGTGTAATTTCGCGCAACTATTGGGTGTGCATAAAGAGTCGAGACCCAGAGATCAACTGCAAGAGTCGCATCTCGACGGCCACCCAGAAGGATGGCTCCATTCGTGTGCTACGAGTGTACAACAGTCACAGCCATCCGTTCAGTGAAGATGATATCAAACGACGCTTGTTCAACGAGATCAATAAGAAGAACAACAAGAAGTTAAAGTTCAGGCCGCTCCACTTTATAGGCAAGTCCCTGGATCAGATTCAACAGGAGTACGGCGACTTGGCCATTGAGCGTCTAAATGTCTCTAACATCAGCAGTGACATAGTCGTACACAAGAAGCCACGAGTACCAGGCACTGCCGGAGCCGGTGGGAGTCACAACAGCAGCTTGGCATCTGCCAAGCATGACCAGCACGACGAAGATGAGGATGTTGTCATCGAGGAGGATGAAGACGAGCCGATTCACGAGCAGGGCGGGGAAATGCTGCGCATGGAGGGAGATCACCAATACATGGAGGTGGACAACACAGATGCCATTATTGAAGTCGTCGAGGAGGCGACCGATGAAATGGATGGCTACGGGACCGTTGAGTATGTGTACCAATAAGAATTTAAACTAGGCTTAGAGAAGGGATTTTCCTGGTCATTTTCTCAAACGAAGCTAATCTCTGAAGGGTTTTAATGTATTTTAATTAGTATCCTTATAGTTCTTCTTTCTTTATAATCACATTTCGTCAAAAGTTCAACTGAACCTTGAAATAATATTTATATTGGGTTATTTGTCTGATGCTTAGCTAGTTTTTCAAAAAACTGGTTTGAATTGTTATTAAAATGAACACCTGCAACTAGTCTGGGAACTTGGTAAAGCTCGTGTTAGTATTACTTGAGAGCTGTGCGAGCGTACTACACATATTTTGTGGGTTTAATAAGATTTCATATTCACAAAATTCGTCGACACCATACATATATAAATACGAATATACATGCATTGAAAATAGCTACAAAAAAAAATGAAACCAAAAATAGACAAATTCGACTGATTTCTAGGGGCACAAGTTGCTTTCACTTTTTGTGCTAGTGACGATCGGCAAACCGGTCGGACGCGAGTCTATAGCAAAGCTAATGCTTATTTTGTTGTCCACTACAGACCCATTTACACCATGAAACTGTACGCTGTCTCCGATGGGCCGCCCTCCCTGGCCGTTCGCATGACCCTTAAGGCCTTGGAAATCCAATATCAGCTAATCAATGTGGACTTCTGTGCCTTGGAGCATCGCACTGACGAATATGCCAAGGTAAGAGCAGAACTACTAAAGAGAAATGATAAATCTAATCTAATAACGAAACTTTCCAGATGAATCCGCAAAAGGAAATTCCAGTGCTGGACGACGATGGCTTCTTTTTGTCGGAGAGCATTGCCATTATGCAATATCTGTGCGATAAGTATGCGCCGGACTCGTCTCTATATCCGCAGGATGCCAACTTAAGGGCGGTAATCAACCAGCGATTGTGCTTCAACATGGGATTCTACTACGCCCCCATTTCGTCCCACAGCATGGCACCTATCTTTTTCGACTACGAACGCACGCCAATGACGCTGAGGAAAGTCCAGAATGCACTTGAGGTCTTTGAGACCTATTTGCAGCGATTGGGAACCAAATACGCGGCTGGCGATAATGTTACAATCGCAGATTTTGCACTTGTCTCGGCCACACTATGCTTGGAGGCCATTCATTTCGACCTGACTCAGTATCCGTTGGTAGCGCGTTGGTACGCCACCTTCAAGGAGGAATTCCCGCAGCTATGGGAGATTGCAAACAGTGGCATGCAGGAGATCAGTGCGTTTGAAGAGAATCCCCCAGATTTGTCAGAAATGGAACATCCATTCCATCCGACGCGCAAGGCTAAAGCCTAAACCAAGCATAGGTAATCTAAGGGCCTATTTGGCAAGGAAGTGTAATATGTTTTTCTTATATTCAAATATTGCAAAATATTGAATATATATATATATATATATATCTTTTATATAAATAACATTCTGTTCTGCGCATTAACAAATGTGACTAAAACTTAATCGAACTAATTTTGTATTTTTACTGATTTTCCCCGCTAAACCGAGATATTGATTTAAAACCTTGTAATACATAAGATTGCTTATCCCTTATTAAAGATGATATCTTTAAAAGAACACCAACTATCTCTTTAGTCCGAAAAATAATAGATTTTGTACGCCAAACGCTTTGGTTATGATTGTAGAAAAAAATATTGTATCTTGTATTCTTACACCATTATTAAAAAGGATGTATATAAAAAATAGGCAAATTGATTGACTTCTTTAACTTCTTTATCTGTGCTTTAAGGTAAGATTCACGAGATACTGAGATACCCATACTTGTTTGATTCATTATTTGTATTAAGATAATCCCAAAGCTAAAAATTGAGTCTTATCTACTTACCTGAAATCCTCGATCATTGATCCAATCGCCTCGGTGAGCTTTCTGTACTTTTCCCCAAAACTTGTGCCAATGGTCAGTTCGTTTATCAGATTGTGGGAATCCGGCTCCAAGTACGCCTCCAGGTGTTTCCGCGCTTCGGCACCTAGCAGATCCACTTTGGTCAGCACATTAACGTGCGGCTTCTCCATGTTGGCCATCACACTGAGGGCGGCCATTGTGCCCGATATGAACTTGGCCCCGTCCACCATGAACTGCGAGTCCAGGCAGAATACCACGCAGGTGCGAAAGTTCCAAGTCTCTAGAAGCTCCACCAGCTGCTTGCCCATCTTCAGGTGCGTAAACAGCTCGATCTGGCCGGGCATGTCGAATAGAATATAGTCGTCGTCCGGTTCACCGAGCATCATCTCGTCCTCGCCGCCGCAGAGCTGCGCCTTCAGCCAGTCCTGGTTCTCGATGAGGAACTCCAGGCAAAAGATGAGGCCCCCGTTTGGTCCATATTGCAGCTCCTCATCCTCCATGGCATCGTCCAGGTGTATTAACTCTCGTATATCCACCATCGGACTGTAGTCGAAGTGTTCTGCCGCCGGGTCGAGATTCACAACTTGGATATTACGCTTGCTGTCCATGGCGTATTGCTGCATGTAGCTGCAGTAGGTGGACTGGAAGGGATGTAGATTATATTACAGGCGCCGCTAACAATGTCAATATCACTGGACATACCTTGCCACTGCCCGCAGGTCCTACAATTATCTGCGCGTACCGCATGTCGCATAAATTAACACAGCTTCCAAACCAAAACAAACTTAAACGTGCTGTCTCCGATTACAGGGATGAAGCGCTATCGATTGTATTTGGACTATCGGAATCAGATGAATACATTTTTTTTTGTAGTAGAGAGCTTTCAATCTTAAAAAATATATATTATTGATCAGCAAAAATCGTTGCTTTTTCGGAGAACGAGGAAAATAGGGGTCTCCCTGCGCCATGTCTTTATCGTTTTAAGTGTGACCATTTTGACATTATCAAAGCCGCCAAGTTTGAACATTTGAAAATAAAAGATGTAAGCCCATAACGATTGATTAAAGGGTTTTAAATATTAATTAAAGGACATGCGATGGTTTTTATGCTGTACTTTTGATTTTATTCTTTTTTTCATAGAGTCACTAGGAAGGAAAGGTAATTGTTAAACTCGAATGACTTATTGGATGTTTAAAGGGCACCTTTGATTCAAGATCATTGTAGTTTACACAACAAATAAATATATATTTTAAATACTTCAGGATTTCCCATGCCGTAACTTTCTAAACAGCACCTTATACATAAAACATACATTTTAATATAGTTTTTACTGTCCATCATAATCGTCACATCACCCCCGGTCGTCTCTTATCAGATTTTGATAACCTCCCCGCAGCTGTCGCCTCCAGCAGTTAATTAAATCTTTGACCGCAAGAGCGACTTAAACAGAAGGCATTAATTTACATACGATCGAATTGATAGATCAACTCGCTGGCCGCACAATCTCAGCGCTCAATCACGTCATCAGGGAAACACCACTGCCGGGGGCTAATCCTAATTGCAGATAAACATCTGAATTGCTCAGCCAAACGCGGCGCGAGGACAACAGCTGTCCATTGAGGCCATCGATTGACAGTCATAATGATGTTTTAAATGGCACGCTCACTCTGCCAAATAAAAACGCTTAAAAAATAATAATTTTTCGTTTTTTTAAATGAAATATTCCCGGCGAGGTGTGGGCATGCATGTCCAAAGACCGGAAATAATTTTCTAGTTTGTACCGCACACCCATAGCCATGCACTTACAAAAATTAAATGATAACAGAGAATAATAGTAGTCTCCATATATATATTTCAGGGTAAGTGAAGTAATAATATTTTCGAGAATTAATTTATTATTTTTCGAGTGCACACCCTCCCCCAAATCGGAAAAAAAAACATGAACTGCACTTGTCCCTTATGATATTTGTCTGTTCGCCCCTTTGTCCTTCTTTTTTTTAATGATATCGACAATGGGAGGGTGTAGAGTACGGGCCACGAGGACAACCAGGACCAGGTGTTCGATACAGACCCGTGCTGATAACTATATAATTTATCCTCGAATTACTCCTTTGCCCTCGGCGCTTGAACTGCAATTAGACGTGGCCAGGGTAGATGTGTTTGAAATGTTTATTCGATTTAAACTAAACCACTAAGTATAACATTTAGATATTAGCGAACTTAGAGCAATTAAATACCACAGAACATGTTTTCGTCATATAATTATTAAGTTGGTTAATAATATGTGTTAGATGCCGTGACTAGCAAAGCTTGACTAGTTGGATTTCCCTTGAATCTCTATCTCTCTGAATCCTCCTCACATTCCATTGCTGCTGCCACCAAAGATGCTGGCCGTGGCTCCTGGATCGGACATATCGGCGCTACCGCTGAACTCATCGCTGCTCTGGTTGCTGTTTTGGTTCTGATTCGAGTTGCTGTTGTTGTACAGCGGCTGGGGCTGGGAGAGGGGCCCACGAGGATCCTCCGGAGTCCAGGTGCGGGCGTAGAGCTTGCTGCCCGGATAGCGATCGCCCTTGCGATACCAGGACAACGAGTGTGCCACGCCGCCAGCTGCAAGGAGAAGATAGCAAGGATTAAATAACGATGGGTAAATACTGAGTAACATGAAAGACATAACATGTTAAAATAATATCTAAAACTAACTTAAATCGATCCCATAATCTTTTATTCAAAAAATGTCCTTGCAGGATATTATAATTTGAGTCAGAAGCTTCTATTCTTCTATTCTTGATCAGCATCATCTCCTGAGTTGATCTAGCTATGGCCGGTTAAAGGATAAATATATATATATATTTTTTTTTAATTTTAAAAGTTTTATAAGGGGTTACATCGTTAAAATTTTCAAAAATCTAAACAAATTTTAATTTTTTAAAATGTTAAATTCAGTATGTATGTACATATGTTTGGGTTAGTTAGGAGTTTTTTAAACATTGATTTGTCAAACAAAATCGAAAATAGTTATTTGAAGAATAAGAACATTTTATTTCCGATTTGATTTCAGTGAAACACAAACTTTGGCTTTACGAAATTAGTTTCCATTCTGTTTTTCCATAATTAAACTGATCAATAAGAATGAATTATTAATTGTCGGCCTCAAACTTAAAGACATACATATATATACAAATATTTAATTATAAAGCACAACGTGAACTAAAAATCGGACAAAATATTAACTGGGACGTTTTTAGATTTCAGAAGGGTTTTCCGAGGAGACAACGATTCCCGAACAGGAGTCAAGCGCCGCCCAAACAATTAAAATTGTTGCCAAAAACTGAGCAAATGCCATTAGCAGCCACATTACAGGGTCATCATCGAGCCAGGGCAAACAAATATGGAAAAGGGTTCGCCTTCATCCATGAGGGGTTGCGGATGCCCCGGCTTGTTGTTACAGCTGCCACCCCGCTGCGCGCTCGTCATTTGCCTTGGACAAACAGAGCCGAAACCCAAGCCCAGACCGAAATCCATGTCCTCCGCCCATCGTCCTTGTGTGCCACATCCAATCAGAAACCACATCCCACCATTCGCACCCAAGTCGGGCAATTTGTAGCTCTCGCAGTTTTCGAGTGCCTCATGCGGGTGTTTCTCAAATATGCGACCCCGTCCCTGTTTCCGTTTCCGCTCCCGTTCCCGCCCAGCCTCCGGATCTCGACAAGTTCGGTGTGAACATATGCCAGGCGCGTGCCAGGAGCCCCAGTCCCTGGTCCATCTTTGCACCCATTTAAATGGGAGCTCTTCCTCTCCCCTTGGAGCAAAGTTTGTGCGATTTTTTTCAGTATGCGAGCATGCATTGGGTTCGGTGTTATTTTTGTTTTTGCTGCAACATTTTTAATGCCAGTTAAGCATGAAAACGCTTTTGCCATCAACATGGCCAGCTCCCCGCACTTCTCCCCTTAACCGCTCGCCTTCCATTTGGCCTTTAAGCGGCGACGACGACTACGACGGCAGCCATCTGCCGGAGTGTAACGAATTTCCCACGCTATGATTATGTCGATTGGGCTTTTGTTGTTCCTGTTATTGTTACTATTTTGTTCACTCCCCCGCTTTTTGTATCTGTATCTGTGGATGTGGTAGAGGAGGAAGGAGGAGGAGATGGAGGTGGTTACCCGGGCAAGGTGTATGCATGTGGGACCTTTATCAGCTAGAAACTAATTTCACATCAGAGCTTGCATGTTCATTTTGTCGGTAGCAAATCGAAAAGTATAAAAGGAGGACAACTATAAATCAAATCTATTTGATTTTATTCTATATAGAAAATGAAGGAATTAAAAATATAATTAATAATATCTGAAATGAATGTAAAAGCAGTATGCAGGAATAATAAAATGAATCAATAAAAAAGGTATTTTAAATGAATAAATAAATATGTTTAAATATATATTACCAAAGAAACTGCTTCTATAGCTTAAAAGGTTTTTGTAGGTTTTTACTTCTACTTTTAAACTTGTTCCATAATATAAAAAAGACCAAATTCGTAATATAAGTCTAATCTATTTTACATAAAAATACCAATTAATAATTAGCCTTCCCCATATTCTGGTTAGAGCTGGTTAGAAAAATGATTTAATTAAAATATCCAATGACACCCTTCAAATTAAATTTGTTTCTAAACATAGTTATATATATTTTTTTATAAAACCAATTCCCAAAGCTATAAATTCCCTTATAATTCAGTCCACTGAAGTGACTTCTACACAACCAAAAACCAGTTCGAACTCAACTTTAACCAGTTCAAATTTGTGTTTTGACACACATGAATAAAAAAATGTATGTATATATAAAAAAACCAATGCCATTTTGTAAGGACTATACATAACACTCAATAATAAAGGACACCCCTTGCTTCTCCCCAAAACCGACACCCCTTTTAGTGTTCCAAGTGCCGGGCTATTAGTTATGCAGATGCTCTCCGAAGATCCTTTGCAGGCTGCAGTGTCATACATTTTGAATAGGAAAATTATTAACCAAAAAACCGTGACCAAAGCAACTTTTATGAGTTGGCTGGCGCACACGGAAACCCCTAATCCATGGCCATTGTATCCCGGGTGAAACTTGTGAAAACCCAGCCATGCCATATCCACATCCATATCCGCATCCTCAGTGATCGATGCGATGGCGATGAGCAAAACAATTTACTTGACTGGCAGTCACGCAAAGCCCGCAATGCGAACCGAAAACCCCGAGCTAGAAGTGTGAAAATTCTAATTAGTTACACTCAGGCAGCCACTGAATACCCATCCAACTCTGGCCAGGATGCAGTCGAGCATCCCCCGTGTGGTCCCGATCGAAACAAAACCATACCCTTGGCAGATAACCTTTGAATAAGGCCAGTGGCCTCGGTCGAATTATGTTATTAAATGTGTACCGGACCCGCTGTTGACCGTCTTTCCTCCCACGTTTGGTTAGGTTATTATGCAGAGAAATTGATTGATTGATTGACAACTCACTGCGATCCTTGAGGATGATTTTCTTGGGCGGCTCCTTTTGGTAATTGCGCTGCAAGCTCAAACCGGGCTCGTTGCCATTCTTGTCCTTCTTTACCATCTCGCTGAGGAAGGTTATGTAGCTAATGGCCAATTTGAGGGTATCGACCTGTGAAGGAAATTAATTTAAGGGGTATTAAACAGGACTATTAGGAAAAGGATGGGTTACTTAAAACTTCCTCATGTATTGCATAGTAAATTGTTGAAGGAATTTAAAGGTGAAATATGTATATTGTAATGAATCCTAGTAATAATTGCTTTAAGTAAATATATGGCTGTTTTATGTTTGTTTTATGATAACTTTTATTTTCTGACCACAATTTTGTAGAACTGTGTTAAGTGAATATGTATCTTTATCACCAGACAACTCAAACTACCTATATTCGTCGGTCCAATGTGAAGGTTTTGAAGCTATCTTCTTAAATAATCGGTAAAGCGAAAGGAAGATTTTATAATATAAAAATGAAAACATATATATATACATATATTCTAAAAGATTCTTTCATCTCCTAATTAAAATGCTTAAATTAAATACTTTAATATTTATAGACACGCACCTTACTCAATCGCTTCTCGTAGGGCAGCGTGGGAATATGGGTGCGGAGGCCTTCAAAGGCTTCGTTGATGCTCTGCATCCGACGGCGCTCCCGGAGATTGGCCGCCTGCCGTTGTTGGGCCATTTGGGAAGCGCACTTCAAGCGCCGCGGCTTGTGGCTCCGCCTGCTAAATAGGGAAAAGCTGGAGACGATTAATGGGCGAGTCCTGGCTACAAACTGGGGCTGTCAAATATCACAACATTTTCATATCCTTTTCGGAAAAAGATAACTCTATAATACATATATTTTGTGTGGATTTTTTTTTTTTTTGACAACCCCAGTACGTTGTGTCTTACGTCTTCTCATTGTTCTCCTGGTCACTGTTGAAGCCACTGCTGTAGGCATCGTCCTCGTCGTCGCTCTCCGAGCTGTGCTCGTCTCCAAAAAAGTACTCGGAACTGGAGGTGGAGGCGTTGGTGGCCTGCGATCCCTCAAAGAAGTGTCGCGCCATTGTGGCCTCCAAGTCAAAGTTGTCCATGGAAAACATTGTGTCAGGCGATCTCGGAAATCTGTTGCTCTTTTTTTTGTTTGCCGATTTAATTGCCCGTTAAGTACATAACGATTAAGCTAATACTTCCGATCCGCCAATTGCCGACGCGTGACCAGCACGTGCCACAATATTATCGAGAAGGGGACACAAAGTCGGACAAGTGCAACGCGTGTCTCCGGTCTTTAACTCTGGTCTCTATCTGCAAGTGGATTTAGTACATATATAAAACAGGGGTTATTTCCTGGTCTTATCACCTTTTTGTTGTTTTGATATTGATAATAAATATGTCCAACATTATTTCGATTAGATAAGATATAGTTTAGAAGCTAATAGATGTGAAAAAGGGCATTTACATGGATATACAAGTTATTTATGAAGGAATCGTTAAACAAGGAAGGTGATAATAAAATATTGGCTTTAAAAATTAACTTTAATGTAAACAGTTTTAAAAGTTTGTAACTTTTACTTTTCTTTAAACATTAAGCTAGAAATGTGACTAAAACACACATAAAATTTACATTTTGATCGAAATTTAATGAAAACTATGGATTAAAAGCATGAAAACAAACATAGAATTATTTTAAAGTCATTAAAGTCTTGTAGCAAAGGATATAGGTAATACAAATAAACCCCTCCTTTAAGAAATACAAATTTCAAGCACCTTCAAAATAACAAAAAGTTGTCATTCTTTTTTTCTAGATTAAACTAGATTTACTTTAAACCTTTGATTTGGATTGATAGATTGACTTTTAAACTCACCTCAATCACTGTGGGATATCCAATAAATAATCCCCTGACTAGTGTTAAAGCCAACAACAAATATTATAATCTATCAATTTCTGGGAAATTGTTCCAATTGCACATCACCACCTAAGCACTAAATATATATCCACACACTCACACGACCTAATGGAAGGACTTGGTATATATCACCCCAAATAATCCCTATAGATCGAAAGGTAACGCGAACACTGTCATCGAAGCGCGTTTCGTTGCGAACTCTGAGACCGCCGGGAAGCGAATGCCTGGGCTTGGTCCTGGAAATTCTGCAGGACACACAGTCTGATAAGAGGAGCGCAGCGAGGGGTGGATATGCATGTATCGTATCTTTCAATGGCGGCGCCACATCAAAAGGTATAGCCAACGGGGCGGAGCTTAAGCTCCGACCAATCGGAACACGTTCCGTTGAAAGTTTTTGGCCAGACAGGGTTGCATTTTCGGGGTGCCATAAGCTTATTAAGTTTACTTCCCAAAGGCCGGGGAGGGTTAAATTCAATGTTTCGGGCCATGCTCTGCAAACAGACATTGAATTGTTTTTTGATTCGGTCGCCCGTTTATCTGTTTAAGCGGAATTATTGCCCAAGTGCTTGACAATGGAAGGTGTTGATGTTTGGCGCAGAGACAAGTGTTTCGCCCCAGGGGCAGAAGCTGGAGGAGCTGCAGCATCAGAAGCATCTATTAAAGGGGTTCAGTCGTCGTCAGCTGCACAAGTTCCACCATGATGTGCCAGAATAACCAACTCCGAACTATGGGGATTACCTCGTAGCACTTCTAAGTCTAATTAATGATTTGTTGCAACCGAGACGAGCTCAGCAAATATGGTTTTAAAAAACGAACAGAATAGTTTGCGGCCCAGCGGAATTTGTCAACCAGCATAATTTTTAAGCATTAGCAAAGGACTAATTCAAATATTTGCACTGTCTAGGATTTCCTCCTCCTCCTCTTCCTGCTGCTTCCCTTTTTTTATTTTCGAAAACAACTCCATTAAGAGGCGTTTGCAGTATTCACTGCATATTTTACGGGGCTCACAAATGACAGGGGTGTCAAAATATGATGCAGTTAAAATATATTTTTTGTACTATATTTTAAAACTATATTATATTTAATTTTGAATAGATTGATATTTACTTTATTCAGACTTGGCTTCCGTCGAAATTATTTTAAGTTTAAGAATGCATTATCAGTATGTATTATTATTTTATTTAAAATCCATTGGATGTTATTCTCTATTTTATTTCAGTGTAACCCATCTCTCCTGGCCACCCCTGATGCGTTGCCGAGTTCATCCTTGTCTTGTTCCTTACCCGAACTCTGTTTGTTTGTTGTCCTTTTTCCCGTGCCCGTCCTATCCTGTGCCGTGCTGTGTGTGTGCCTATGTGTGTTGCCTCATCATCAGACAACCTCACTAAGGCTACCATGATAAACAAATTGTTTTGCCTTCGCCAGGAGAAGCCCTCCTCCGGACCCTCTCCTCATTGTTTCTATGTTGTTATCGTTGCCGGCGCTGCTCGTTTTATGCAGCTGTGTAAACAAATTAGTTTTCAATTTTATCAAGTTGTCTTGCAGCGGTAATTTTGTGGGCTGAAAGCTTCAGGACTTCTATGGCTGATGATCTTTTGCCAAGATTATAAAATTATGGCCATTCTGGTCTCTATAAAATATCTATTTATGGGGAGATAAAGGCCAAATAATGAAAATAATTTGATTTCTAAGGTATAATTTAATATTTCCCACTTTCTAAGTTCCTGTTTCCTCACAAAAGCCGAATACCCAGGCATATAATTAAAGCTCTAAATATACATTTGCCACCCAACTGCATTTGTGGTTATTATTTATACACTACAAAACAGTTGGAATTTTAAATTTGTTACATTTAGATTCTTAGCAATTACAGGTATTTAATTTTAAGATATAATATTTATTATATACTGGATGTGTATGTAAGGTACTTCAAAATAATTTACATGGAAATTTCTCGTTTTAAGTAATTACCTTACAAATCACAATAACTAGTATATAACTCTACCCAATTAGCTTATAAATCAAAATAAAAAGGTATAGTTATTAGTACATTTTCACTGTGTAAACTCCAGACCAAGTGGCACTAGCCGAAACTGACCTGAAATTGGCCGGCACTTGGAGAATTATGCACACGTCATATAACACAATCAAGCGTAACCGCCTCGTCGACTGACAACCCTATATATCTGTACATATATAGTTCAGGTCGCGGTCCGATCTGCGATATCATTACACGCAATTGCCCCCGTCCGCAAGGGTTTCTTTTCTCACCCCTCTGCCTGTTTTTACCGAGCACTTTTCATTATTTTTTTTATTATTCGAATTCTAATTAAAAACCCCAGCGCATTGTTGAGGTAGAGGCAAAGTGGGATCGAAATGCTTATCACACTGCTGCTTCCCCTTCGCTGTGTGTTGACACCGGGCATTAGGGAAACGTCGGGGAAATCCCTTCAAAGACATGCCTCAATGGGTCTAGATTGTCGGGGTATGTGTGTGAGTGTGTAAATTTTAATCTCATTTGAAAAGTACTTTTTTCGAAAGTGCAAAAATTGAAATCAACAATGCAGATAGAAAGGGGTGAGCGCTTAGCTCTGAGTGGATTCAGCGAGGATTAAAACTTTTGAAATGCTTCTAAAGTTATTCAATCATAGCTCTTTTACAATTTATAATGGTTTATAATACTTATTCAATGTTAATTTAGTGTGTTATACATTTTAAATAGTTTATTTTAAACAATATAAAGAATTTTATTATTATTATTTTTTTAAAAACAAACTCAAAAAGAAAAGTTAAACGAACAAGTGAATATTTTCGCACGATGCTTTATTTTCAACAAGGGGCTTTAGCATCCAAAAGACTAAATCGAAAGAGAAATGTAATCCTTAAAGCCTCTACTTCTTGGTTGATTTACCTCTCAAAACAAAAACAGTATTTTATCAATTTATACGGCAAAATTGCTAGGTACTTCTCATATAGCACAACGCCAACGTGACAGTCGCTATTCAAATCGTTTTTCGCAAGTTCAAATTTAACGGAAGTGTAAGATGTGACCGCACTCGTGACGGTGACTATCGATAAAAAGGCCCGTCTATCGAAAGAGACACCACAATTGTGCTGCCCGACTATCAAATAGGTAAATGTCAACCGCACCATACATGGCGTCGGTGGTGTAATGGTTAGCATAGTTGCCTTCCAAGCAGTTGACCCGGGTTCGATTCCCGGCCGACGCACAACCAAATTTTTTGTTTTTATTATTTTTTAGTTCATCTGTTTACTTTTTAATTTTTATTTATTTTTTTTTTACATTTATAAACCTGGTTTTGGTAAGTCATTTTGGATCAGTGTTAAAAACGGATTTAAAAATAGTCGGAGTGAATTTGTATCTGTTGTATTAACATTAAACTTACAAGCTAAACACTTAATATTTGATGTTTTATGCTTCGTTAGGCATAGACAATTACACTTAAATGCTTAACTAATCAAATTCATCTATAAACTCGGTGGTTTCAGAGCAAATAATTTCTTCGAAATCGAGCTCTGGCTCTATTTGGGCATTAGCTTCCTTCATTTTCCTTCTGAATACCGACACCCTCTTGTTATTTCTATTCTTATAAACACGGAAAGTCGTCCTGATTTCAGCTATATAATCATCCATGACATAGGATTCATCGCGCTTGAGAACATCTGAAATGTATATACATGTTTATATCTGAATAATAAAAAGAAATATTTTATTGTACCGTATAAAGCTCTGCTGAAATTGGCAAACTTCTTTAGCGGTATCTTGTGATGGATGCCATCCAAATTGAACATGACCATAAAGTCCACGCGGAGTATAAGATGAAAGTTTTTCGGGAGGCCGCCAGTTCGAAATATTCCACCAGGTTTTAAGAGATCCTTCATGGTTTCAACCTGTAATGAACGTAAATATATTGGATCAGAGTCCGGATTCGAAATCAGAATGTGACAGCATACGTAAACTGATGATTTCACAGGATCATTCATATCCTCCTCCACCGCCTCCATTTGCTCCAGCTGGGTCAATGGAAAGCGTTGCGGCTTCCACAAACCAGTATCGGATGTTTTTATATTCTGAGGACCTAACATATCGATGGGGTGCGCAGTCAGTTGGCTAAAATGTTTAATGTTAAGTTTTAGTAGGTGTAAGTTTGAACAACAGCTCATAGTTACCGCAGAACTTGGAGGACTTTCTTTTGGTTCAGGATGACCAAGTTCATTTTATCATTTAGATTCTTTATTTTCTCCTCCGTAGTGACTCGCTCCTCTTTGTGCACTTTTCTAGGTGCTTCCACAACCCGGTAGGGCAGAGGTTTGGATTTGGCGGTCTCGGCTCTTCGCTTCATTTCCTGTCAAAATCAATCCAACGACTGGTTACTTCATTAGTCGCAACAGCACCACCACACACTCCTAAGTGTTCACTTTGTTTAACTCCCCGTAGTCGGCGGAGCTAATAACTGTTTCGACAACTTAATTAGGCTCACAAAAGCTATGATAATTAGTTTTTTAAAGCCTGGCTTCAATATTTATTAATGTTTGTAAAATGTTTTGTTGTGTTTGGGAAGCGATAGAGATGAGAAATCGTCGATGTGAGTATCGATAACAGCCCGTGTCCAATTCTTCAGTGTGGCTTAACTGTAACTGTTAAATGCCGCCAAATACAAAAATTCACATGTACTTATTTCTCTGAGGTAGACCGTTTCTTAACAAAGGCCAGATAAATATTGGTCGGATATTGGAAATACATAAAATCGTTAAGATTTAAATTGTATATACTTAATATGTGTATGTGTCAATATAAAAAATTAATGAAACTATTTTTTTATTTAGCAAATGAAGAGTTGCCAGACTAGAAATAACCATTTTCCAACACTTACTTAAGGCCACATCAGCTGTTCTGCTTGTTTATGAGAACAATAAAATATTGCATTTGTTATTGTTGTAAAGACACAAATTTATAAAAGTAAGATACAACAAATTCAAATTGTGTGCGAAACCTAACGGATACCAGGTTGCCTTGGCAACCCGGCGACCAAAACAACGAACGCAGTCGGGAAACAAAAATCTTTCTTACCAGCAACCAAAGGTGTTCTCCTATAAGGCAAAAAATGTTTATACTAGACAGAATCTTGCCCTTTATAGTTAGCTATATAAGGCCGTTTATCAAGTGGTTCCTCCACGCATTCACCCGGCTGTCCGAGCTGCAAAGGATCTGCTATGGCGCTCGGGCTGGTGCCAGTCGGACGAGTCAAGTCGAGAGATCTCTGACGTTGTCCAAGACGCCGCAAATAAGGCGCCTAGTTCTTGACCTTGATGAGGCGGCGCCGTATGTGGACAACAGGGAGCTGCTGGAATTCGGTGCGTTAAAATGATAAATATTTTCTTAATAACATTTTCTGTTACATTTACTTTGCATTTTTTCAGCACCCCGCGCCGCTCGTGTTGTGATGCAATCCAAGCGCATTAAGAGCAATGTGCATCCGGACTTTGCCCGGCTCTTTGGGACCTGCGTGACCAGCATCTGGGGTTACCGCCGGCTGATGCATCAGGTAGAGCAGATGCGAGCGGAACGGTACGACTCCGATAACCTCGAACACGAGCAGAAGCTGTTGCGATTGTGGCAACTCCTTATGCCAGAGGCTCCACTTACGGGACGGGTTAGCAAACAGTGGCAGGACATCGGCTTTCAGGGTGACGATCCCAAGACGGATTTTCGTGGAATGGGCATGCTTGGTTTGGAGAATTTGCTCTACTTTGCCACCGAATACAATGATGCCGCTAAACATGTGCTCCTGCATTCCATGCATCCCACTTTGGGCTACACCTACGCTATCGTGGGCATTAATCTCACTTCGATGGCTTTCAATCTAGTTAAAACGGGAGCCGCTAAGACGCACTTCTACAATCTGGTGGTCCAGCACAAGCAGGACTTTAGCACAGTGGAGGATTTCCACAAGTTATACTGCTATCTATTCTTTGAGTTTGATCGATTCTGGAAGGACAGTGATCCACGCAATGTTATGGACTTTCGCGAGATATATCAGGCCTTTGAAATCACCAAACTGGAGGCCTTACACAATGATAGCACTATTTTTAAAACAAATTTGGTTGTAGAATCCGTTTAACACACTTTCGCTGTCCCTATAGTCCAAACATTAAAAAAAACGTAAACGCTATCTAAATTGTTTCCAGTCTAGTATTTGTTTTTAATAATAAACGATATATTTTGATTTTTATATAAATGCAGAATTTATGCGTTTATTTGAGAGCCATATATGTGTATAATGTATATTTATGTATGATGTATTCATATATGTATTGTATTTATATATTTGAATGTAGTTTTATGTAAATCATTTTAACTAAGGCTGGGGATGTCACATAATAATAATACTTTTAAATCAAGTCAGAGATTGCCACTGAGATAGAGAGAATAAATAATTCAATTATGAAATATCACGCAAAGCATACAAACTATAAACGAAATAAAATCGATAGGAAATTGCACAAGAAAGCCTATTTGGTATTTTGCCATAAAGAGTGCTCAAGTCAAATCCAGGGGCTCAAAAGAGCTGCTTGCAAGCTTGATTTTGGAGTAGTATCCATATAGAAATACACTTTCATTTGTCTAGCGATAGAACTTAACCTCCGCCTCGACACAGTCCTTAAGCAGTTCATCCAGCTCGTCGCTGGCATGATCTTGCAGTGAGAAGTAGTTATTCAGCTCGTCCACACATGAACGTTCCAAACTGCGCAAGTGCTCTAAGGCCGCCGGCTTCCGCTGTGAGTGCAGCTTGTGCAGCAACGTCAAGTCCGATTCCGCCTGTACCTGGGTCAGTGGCGAGATTCTCGGCTTGGGAGCGAAAACGAATGGTTTAAATACTGACTCGGCGGCATTGGGCGTACCCGTGAACCAATGGCACGAGATTCCCTTGCCAGACAACACCGACACGGTGGCCGCTCGCGAACTGCTGGGGTTGCTGGCCGCTCGAAGCGTCTCAAACATATCGTGCTGAGTATAAGTGCCATCTCCAGCTGGCTTTGGTCCACACCAATCCTCGGCCGGAACCTGCGCCTCGGCATCGTGGGCAGCGGCAAAGCTAGAGGTCGAATCCAGTCCCTCACTAGACTTGTTTACGGTGGTGGTCACCACTAGTCCACCGGTCGGCAGTCGGAGGAAGCTGCTCTCCAACTTCTCGGCTGCCCAGACTTTTCCTGCGCAACTAACGAGCCAGGCAGCAGCGGAATCACAAACAATAAAGTTTACTTTGGAGTTGTCATGGCCATGGGTTGCAACCAAAGCTCCGATTCGGTCCACAGCCCCGTCCACGTCGCTGGCCTTGGCCAAAGTTAGACTACAGAAAAAAGGGAAATTGTTAAAAACTTAGTTTTTACAGAATCAATTAATGGTGTTTGAAAACCTATGTATATCTAGTAAAATTAGGCAGAATCTAGTTCCTGTTTCTACGTACCGCACTATATCAGTGCCCAGCAGGCAATCGCTATCTTTGGCTTCCTCTTCACCTGCCGCCCAAGTGAGCCCTACGGCCACTCCACGTTCGTTGGCCCCGAAGTCACCACCCCAGAGACCAGGCTGCGGTTTCTGCAATATGACACGCAAAGCGTCGCCGTCGCTCGCCTCCGAGTCAGTCGCCCCACCGTCGGCCTGAAAGGTATCCAAAATTGTGAGTGAGTCATTGATCGAGCTTCGGATTGGAGTCTCGTTTCGTCTCCCCGTCTGTTACCTTCCCCTCCAGCACTTCGCTGACATCATAGAAGCAGACCTCCGACGCAACGCTTGTGGCCGTGGCGTCCTCAGCGTTGCGACCAAAAATAAGCGAACCATCGGCGCAATTGGCGGGCAGAACAACAAAGCAGTCGCCGTTTGAGGACATTTTTTCCTTGGTTTTTCTCGCAAAAAACGTCGATTTTAAAATGCACAGACGTCAGGGTGGAGGAGGAATGGCGCAGTGTGGCCATTGATGTTCGGATCGAATATACAGAGCTCTGATGTGGGAAATATACTAGAAATACTACACCAATTGGTTTCTTCAATAAATACTTTTGTTTCAAAATTTCATAAAAACATTTGTTTGCTATAAATACATGCCCTAAAATCCAAATGTTTAACGATTTTCTGTATGCTACGGTTAATTTACACAACAATTAAAATAAAATGAATAATATTTTGGTATATTCCCAATTGGTGGGAAATATACTAAATTACTTATTACATCCAGCAGGCGTTTGGGATTTTATCGACTATCAAAAACAAGAAGAAGACGTGTGATTGATTTCGGGCTTAAGTCGTTCGCGGATAAAACGGCTTAAAATCGCCTTCTTTTTACAAAATCGTGGCTATTCGAACACCGTGCGCTCCTCATTTTACCGACAACAATCGATTTCCCGGGTTTTTCGCCAGCATTGCGTAGCTTGGAAAACTGTCTCTCGCCTAACTGCATTTGTATACAGAGCAGGTGGTGTTGTCTCTCTCGGGCCGCACTGCTCGCCCCAGATGTGCGAGCGAAACAACAACAAACAAGTTACAAGGTGTGTGTGGTGTGTGTTGGTGTTGTAAATACTCGCGCACACTGTTGTTGTTGCGCTGGTGGATGATGTTCAGCGCCTTTTTTCGTTTTGTGTGTTGATTATTTTACTTGCGTGCGCTTGCTGCTCGTGGGCGGCTGGAAAGTCTCGATAAAGCGAGGAAAAGTGCTGGGAAAAACCAGGAGAAACCCATAAAAACAACAATTGGCTTTTACTGGCGGTGAAAAACGTTCTTTCCAAGTGTAAAATCGGGTAAAGAAATCGAGAAAATCAATATTCTGTGAAGGCGTTGGGCGCCCAATAAGAAACTGCTACAAGAAAGTTGAAAGAATTTCAAGTTTTTCGGTGACCGCTCCCTGAAAAAAAGAGATATTTTTCTTTCTCTTTATTTTGTTGTGCCTTCTGTTTTTGTTGTGCGTTGCTTGACCACTTTGGCCGCGCGCGAAACTAGTTTTATTTTTCATTTGTTGGTGGCTCTTTGATGTCGTTTTAAAGCCCTGAAATTGAAGCAATTGCCCATAAAATCAATAAATTCAAGCCGCGCACGGGTGTAGACACACACAGGATGATAGAAATTTAAGAGTCGTGTGCTTTAAGAGGGAAACTCGGAAAAGTGGGAGAAACCACCCTCGCCCCCAAAAACTCCACCGTAAATGGAGTATACATATGTATTTGCCAGTGTTCCACCCCCCAAAAACGCGCCCCCTTTTCCGGCATTTCGTGTATATATTGTGTATGTACAAGGAGCATCTCCCCGCGAGCGTGTGTATGTATCTGTGAGTGCATTGCTCTTCATTACAAAAGCGGCGTGCACAGCGCGAAGCGGCCTCGTTTTAAGTTCCCAGTGTGTGTATGTGTGTTTTTAGTGCTTTTACTGCTTTTATACCGTTAAGTTCTCGCGCAGTTGGAAACACGCTGGCTGGCTGGCTGCGTTTTTCGGCAGTTGGCAACACGCTGACCCAATAACGGTAGAAACCGACCCGCACTCTCTCGCAGTCGCACACCAATGCAACGGTTGCTACTGGCGCATGAATGAAACAGAAACAACACCCGCATGCCGTTATTATTATTATTAGTATTGTTGTGAAATCTCTGCAGATGCTGCGACCCACATATTTTCGGCCTCGTCGCAATTAGCCTGCAAATCCAATTGGAGTAATACACTGCATTTTCCTGTTTTATTTTTGGTATCGCCTTTGTTTATATTTGGGAGAAGCGATTTTATTCAAGTTCAATGAACCAGCTATGGAATGCCTCGTGTCTGATTGTGTGTGCGTGATTTTGTTGTCGCTCGTTTTGGTTATTTTTTTCGAACAATTTTATTTGTGGACTTTATTGTGGGTGATAAATGTTATATCAATATTCGGTAGCATCGCCTGATATGTTTACAGCCTTAATTATGAAAGTGATTTAAAAATAATGCAAAAAAATCGTCTGATTTGTTAAGAAGCGTTAAAAGTTGCCTTGACATTGAGAGATTGTGTATTTACGTGTGTACATGGCCTGTGCGTTTGTGTGCGTGTAAATGTTTTGCGAATGGAGCCCAGGCGCTATCTCGCTCACACACACTGGTTTAAGGCTAAATTTGTAAATACATGTGCACAAAAACAATTAAGTAATATTTCATAAGGCCGGGGCCCGGTACTTGTTATTGTTGTGTACGAGTGAGCGAGCGAGTCCGGCAGCGAGTGCAAATGACCTTGCGAATTGACACCTGCATCGATAGAGCCTGCACTAAAACGTCGATAGCGAGAAAGGCCGGAACCTCTGTATATCACAAGATCGATGAATCTTTATAATGTACACAATTTTGTTAGCAAGGGAGGCACGTGGAATATGCCCTAAAGTAGATATGAAATGGTATCTATTTTCTAACTTGACAAAAGATAAATAATATATGTATTGGAATCTTCAATGCCCAGACTTAGTCAAAGCCAACAAATATCCAAAGTTTCTCATAATTTATTAAAATCTCTTTGATAACATAATTATAAATCGTCTACAAAGCTAGAACACAATTATTTTAAATAGTTTAACCTCCCTTTTTCTAACTAAACTTTGTTTTTCTTGCAGCTCTAACAAAATTCCGTCGACATTCAATGCAAAACTGGAGCTCGACTCCAGCAAGGAAGACACCATTCACTCCGCAAGCCTGAACAAAAAGCTTGTCAAAATTAAAAAGTTCAAGCTGGACGATATGAAGGAGATGGTAGGTGGTTGCTGTGTTTGTTCGGACGAGCGGGGGTGGCCGGAGAACCCGCTCGTCTACTGTGACGGCCAAAACTGTACGGTGGCAGTGCATCAGGCGTGCTACGGGATTGTGACTGTACCCACGGGACCCTGGTATTGTCGCAAGTGCGAATCCCAGGAGCGCACCTCTCGCGTTCGCTGCGAGCTTTGTCCCTCGCGGGATGGTGCCCTCAAGAAGACCGACAATAGTGGCTGGGCCCACGTCGTCTGCGCCCTGTACATCCCGGAGGTTCGGTTTGGAAACGTGACCACCATGGAGCCCATTATACTGGCTCTTATACCGCAGGAGCGGTACTCGAAGAGTGAGTCTCTACATAGCTTAAGAATATGCAAAAGGTCTCATTCTAACTGATTTTATTTGATTGGATTATTAGCTTGCTACATTTGTCTGGAGATTGGAAAACCGAATCGAGCCAATTTTGGCGCCTGCATGCAGTGCAATAAATCGAACTGCAAGCAACAGTTCCATGTCACATGTGCCCAGAGTCTTGGCCTGCTTTGTGAGGAGGCAGGCAATTATTTGGATAACGTGAAGTATTGCGGCTATTGTCAGCATCATTACAGTAAACTGGTGCGTATATGGGGGTCAGCATTCATTATTTTTCCATTCAAATTGTTGATACTTTGCAGAAAAAAGGCGGCAACGTCAAAACCATACCGCCATATAAACCCATTCAACATGACACCTCATCCGATTCATGTTCGTCGCCTGAGAAGGAGATCGATTCCACCATGAACTCGTCGGCCACATCGGCTACGAGCATTAAAATTACCAGTAGCAGCAGCAGCGGTGGACCCAGTGGAGGTACCCAAAATCCAGTGAACTCCGCTGGAAGTGGTAGCGGAAGCAGTAGCGGAGTATCGTCATCCTCCAAGCAGCGAAAGAGCAATGCGTCTGGGAAGCAATCGTCAAGCAGCAGCAGCAGTAGCAGTAGCAGCAGCACTTCATCATCGACGGGTGTGGCGGCAACCAATCCATCCTCGAGTTCTGCGAACCCGAGTGCATCAAACGGTGGCAGTTTACTACCTGGCAGTAGTAACAACACCACTAGCAGTAATTTAAGCAATAACAACTTACCTGGCGGAGGCACCAGCAGTGCTGGGAACGTAACCAGTGGAGGCAATACAATTGGATCAAGTACTGGACCACCTATCAGTAGTGCGACGTCTCAAATGTCGACGCCAAATGCTGCCGCTATTCCGAAATCATCATCATCATCGGCGGGCAACTCAAACAGTACTGGCGGCAGCACCAGTTACAAGGATAAGCATAGCAAAAGTTTGAGCAAATCCTCCAATTCTAGTAAGGATAAGGACAGCAAGGATAACACTAGCAATATAGCTAACAATAGCTTCTCGAATTCATCAGCTGCCTCATCGACATCTTCCAACTCCTCCTCTTCCCGAGACAAGTCTTCGTCCAAGCTATCGAAGACCAAAGACTCGGTCCAAGTGCAACCAAGTACTACCAGCAGCACTCAGCCCATCATTTCATCAACGTCGACAACAATGAGTGGGATCAGTGGAACTGGGACATCGCATGTCACTAGCTCAGCTGCTAGCTCAGCTCCCACAACAATACATGAGCACTCGAATCAAGCTCAGAATCTGAGTACAACAAACCCAGGAGGAAGTGACAGTACAAGCACAACCGGCAAAATACTATTGCCCAGCAATCTCACGACCAGCAATTCTAATTTTGGACAAGGAGCCAGCAACGCCACAAGTTCCGGACTGAACGATTCCGCCGGCATTAACTTAAATTCTGAAAGAGACAATAACTTGCCCAACGCAGGCTCGTCGGCAAGCAATCAGCCCGCCATGGCCATGGGTGCTGTGGTATCCTCCAATGCAAATGCTAGCAATCCAAACAACACGGGCAAAGGCAGCTCTCCCTCATCCACGAGTCTACCATCGACCAGTTCATCGAATTCCTCGACAACAAAAAAAGAAAGGCAGACTCGGTCAAGTCCAGTGGTGGCGGCAGTGGCGGTATATCCATCGCTGGCGCCGCTCTGGATGATAACAATAGGTGGGGATCGAGAAACGCAAAGAAAAGGTCTTTTACACAATTTTCCAAATTTATAAAATTATACAATAAGATTTTAGTAAGTAGATGGCCTTGATTTCTCATTAAATTACTTATTTTGTTTGGAACTAAAAATAACTATAAATATATATACATATATATATATATATATATATATATATATATATATATATAAGCAACTATTAATATAAAAGTCTTATATGAAAATAGATATTAACTTGTGGTGTTAAAAAAAACGATCGATATCATAATATATATACTGATATATATATATATATATATTGTATCGGACTTTTCGTTTCGACATATAGCTATAATAAGAAACCAAGCGCCATTAAATAGTTGTTTGTTATTTGATTTTAGTAAAAGAAACCGTTCGATTAATTGTAGATAATTAATACTAATCTATTAGCCCAGTATGAGACCTCTTTTTTTTACAAAATAATTATGAAATAGACGACTAAATTATCTTAATTATAATCCTAATATTTTGATCTTGCAGCTCATTCCGGGATATTATCAAAGACGTACATGTAACCTTAACGCCATTAACGGATTTTGAGAAGGAAATTGAGAAAAGTTCGAAAAGGGTAAGTTGCAGCATATATTGTTTATCTTTATGAAATATATTAACTATAAATAGACTGATAATAGACTGAGTTCAAAAGCTTTATAACTCTTGAGCAATAATTCCTGATTCTCTTGAGATATTTCCTAGAGAGTGCTTGCCAAATCTCTTTTCTCTGTTGAATACAATGTTGCAATATTTGAATGATGGCCCCCCATTATCTCTTACACTTATTTATGTCTCAGGATTATAGCCCAAAGAGTAAGACGTATAGCAGAAGCTAAAATGCTTTTAAATACTGATGTGTATATTCGTTTCACTCAAAATTAAAATTTTGAACACAGACGCCTTGCCAAATTCTCAGATCATATTTATAAGTAAAAGAAAATGCAATTATACAAATGCACGGTCAAAATTAACGAAATTCTGTGAAATGTTCTCTTATAAAAGCGCACTTGTACAAAAGGGGTTGCTAGCACACCCATTAATCTCAAAAGGAATTTTGTTTTTAGGGAAAGCTGTGAAATCTTTGTTGAAGAACATTAACTATACACCATTTCACATTATACAATTAAAAAGAATCAATTTGTTTATGTTTATAAAAATATGATATATGAAATATCAGTATGCGAAAAAGTATCTGTTCAAGAACAAGCAATATACGTGATTTTAGATATGTATATGTATCTAGAGTCTATCTTCAGTATATGTTTGCTGAACTCAACTTGCAGTGTGTTTACCATAAGACCTTGTGGGAACTTAATTTTTTAGGGTTTAGCCAAACTCTCTTATAAATAATAAAGTCCGGATGCTACGAAAATAACTAGGGATTTTTATATCCCTTAAATACGTAATAAAATGTTACCCAGGACCATTTTCCTGCACAATTTTCGACTCCTCTTCAAGAGATTTTAAAAGCCCCTAGATTTGTTTATAACATTCTCGATAATTATAGTTTTTTTTTTTAATTTCCACTTGGTATCTTTCGTTCGATTAAGGCCATCCTCACCTTGTCTATTTGCTATTTGGTTGATGTGATTGATGCCCAATGATGTCTGTACCCAATGCCCCATTAATTTTCTTTTGAACCCCAAAAACGCATGGTAAAAATATTATCGAATTTTAATTAAATGCAAATGCGCATGTTAATTTATTGATGTTGTTGAAGTGCCTGCCGAGGGATGCTACGTACCAGAAGACAGACAGACAGTGACTTTGAACAAGACAGTTGAACCATGTTGTTGATCCCATTTTTTTTTTTCTGTTGTAAATCTTACCTTGTCATGCGATTTTTCTCCACCTGGAATATTTAGCAGGAAAATTCTCTGGTGGTATATAAGAATTTATTAAAACACATTTCATATGGGCGTCGTCGAGAGCAGCAAGCTGATATTATTTGTGTGATTTGTGTTGGGCTTGTTGTTCGGGTCGCTAATGTACATACATATGTATTCATTTATTGTTGATATAGAGTCATCGTCATCCCTATCGTTTCGTGTCTCTGGCGACACCATCGCCTACCGTCGTGCCGTGTGCAGACAAATGACTCGAAGGCGTTTGACAAAAATTTTTGCAGCGCGAGGATCAGTCGAAAATCGTTGTCAATCGAAGCTATAACTAAAATTAAGAATTTTTCTCTTCCGAAAATATTATTACGAACGAAAAGTATATATCAACCAACCATAAAAGAGGACTCCCTCATCAGTCGCCATCAATAATGCAATAATTCCATAATTTAGTGTTGTGAGAAAGATATCGGTTAAAAACTGTCCCCAAAATGAAACTGAAACTGCACATTTGAAGTTTTGTCAAGCGTTCGTTTAATTTTAGAATTTCCGTGTGTAATTTGGCCCATAATTTGACCCACAAAATGAGAGAAGGAGGAATGTATGGCTCCACGGAGGAAGCAACATTTCCCACACGCAGTTGTATTTATAGATTTCGATTTTTTAGTGGAAGCTCTTTTCAGCAGCCATTTGACTCAATGAAAAAATGGAAATTGCCTGCAAGGAGTTGTTTTTTAGCGAGTTACAGTGGTTGAAATATTTACTAAAACCAATTTTGTTTCAAGTTCCCTAAAAATCGAACTACAAATTCAATTATTGATAAAAGAAATCACCAAAACGAACCCAAGCTTTCTGGAAAGTTGTATTTTGAATTAATTATTAAATACTATCTGAAAGTCTAACAATTTAAAACTAAACATTTTATTTCAACCTCAACTTGAGAACTTAAATTTCATAACAACAAGTTTTGCCAGTCCAGCATTAAGCAAACAATTATATTAAATGTTTAGCCTAAACTATAATATGCATATTAAATGTGCTCGGGAATATACTATAAACAAATTCCCAGATGCCCGATTATGCACCACAAACTTTATGATCTTGTCTTGTGCGATGCTGTGCTGCTCCCCCAGGAAAAAACATTTTCACACAACATTTTCTCCCCCAAAAAAAAGTTTGCGAGTATAAAAAACACTAGAAGAAGCAGGCGGAAAATCTAAAATGAAAAACTTTTCTCGAAGCTAACAAAAAAAAATGGAAAAACCACAGGCTCGACAAGACCAATACCATCATAATATTTCCATCCCACTCTCTGGCGATATTAGATGAAAACTGAAATGAAACGATGAAGGCGAACAGCTCTGCTCCGTGTTGCCGCACATCTAAAGTTTCCCGAGGAAAGTTTCTCTCGAGAAAAACTCGGTGGCAGCGGCATATGCCGTGCCGTGTGCACTCACAATTATATAGATTAGTTTGCTTTGAGCAATCTTCCAGTTCAGTAGTCGGCGTTTCCGTGTGTGGTTTCAGTGCGTTGTAGGTGTAGCTCTAGTTGTATCTACATATATAGCCCAATTATGGGCCAGTTTAACCGATATTCCGTACTCACCTGACTAACAAGCAAGCAAAAAGCCACAAAATATAGTTAACCTAGTCACAGAGATGATCCTCTAGCGCTGACTCAGTTTTGAGTCCACCCCAGATATATATGTATATATATTATCATATATCTGTCGTAGTGGCGGTCATTTTTTGTGTGTTTCTACCTGTCTGTGTTATTTTTATACAGAATATAGAATTCTGAATAGATACACATTTATTGCTCATGTTTTCCTCTGTTTTTCTGTGTGATTCGAAAGAATTCCTTCTAAATTTCTTCTGGTTGTTGTTGTGAGAAAACTCTTTATTATTTTTTTCTGTCTGATCATTAACACAAAAATCTTGTGTATGTGTGTTACGTATACGCCCGGTTGGGTAATTTTCTAGCGCAAAGGCGATGACGTTTTAGACTGACAGATAAGATTTTTTGATAGATGATCTCTAAATAATGCGAAATTCATTTAGAATCTTTAAAAAAATCCTATGTGTTTTTGCACTAAAACATGTTCGTTTTGAGCAAAACACAAGACAATGTCTATGCATTTGGAAAATCCTGATGGGTTATACAATATAAAACGATGCCTGCTAGTTTTACCAAATCATTATTTCCACAAAACCTTGCAGAGTTCTTTATAGAACATTAAATCCACACAATTCCAAACAAAAATGGGATCTTCAAAAGCCATAGCTTGGATTGAAGCTAAGATCCATCAGCTATTAGTACCGGAAACGAAAGATAAAGTTCACAACAACCAAGTTGAAATATTAAGATTCAAAAAGATCATTATGATCTCTTTCAGCAAGTATTTAGCTGGTAGAATCACTATAGGTCTTCATATTTAGACGTGTCAGGTGCTTACCTCATTCATCCATCGCTCCTTCATCGCTTGACGCCACCCATCAACAATCCCCTCGCTCGATTCCATCGACTCTATGTGTGTTCTCTTTCTGCACTTTCAGATAATAAACATAATAAGTATAATTGTAATTGTACTCGAGCATAGATCATTTCGATAGCGAAACCAAAAACACACACATCAAATAAAATGCCTTCCTTCCAACCGATCGAGGCCCCCAAGTGTCCGCGCTGCGGCAAGAGCGTCTATGCCGCTGAGGAGCGTCTGGCCGGTGGCTATGTATTCCACAAGAACTGCTTTAAATGCGGTATGTGCAACAAATCGCTGGACTCCACCAATTGCACAGAGCACGAACGCGAGCTGTACTGCAAGACTTGCCATGGCAGGAAATTCGGGCCCAAGGGCTATGGCTTCGGCACCGGTGCCGGCACTCTCTCCATGGACAATGGGTCACAGTTCCTGCGCGAAAACGGTGATGTGCCGTCGGTGAGGAACGGTGCCCGCTTGGAGCCCCGTGCCATTGCCCGTGCCCCGGAGGGTGAGGGTTGCCCCAGGTGCGGCGGTTATGTGTATGCCGCCGAACAGATGTTGGCCCGTGGACGCAGCTGGCACAAGGAGTGCTTCAAGTGCGGCACCTGCAAGAAGGGTCTGGACTCGATCCTGTGCTGCGAGGCCCCCGACAAGAACATCTACTGCAAGGGCTGCTATGCCAAGAAGTTCGGCCCGAAGGGCTATGGCTATGGCCAGGGCGGTGGTGCTTTGCAGTCCGACTGCTATGCCCATGATGACGGAGCACCCCAGATCCGTGCTGCCATCGATGTGGACAAGATCCAGGCCCGTCCCGGCGAGGGTTGCCCTCGTTGCGGTGGCGTTGTCTACGCCGCCGAGCAGAAGCTGTCCAAGGGACGCGAGTGGCACAAGAAGTGCTTCAACTGCAAGGATTGCCACAAGACGCTGGACTCGATCAATGCCAGCGATGGCCCCGATCGCGATGTTTACTGCCGCACCTGCTATGGCAAGAAGTGGGGTCCCCATGGATATGGCTTTGCATGCGGCTCCGGTTTCCTGCAGACTGACGGCCTGACCGAGGATCAGATCAGTGCCAACAGGCCCTTCTATAACCCGGACACCACCTCGATTAAGGCCCGCGAGGGTGAGGGTTGCCCCAGGTGCGGTGGAGCCGTATTTGCCGCCGAGCAGCAGCTGTCCAAGGGCAAGGTGTGGCACAAGAAGTGCTACAACTGCGCTGATTGCCACAGGCCGTTGGATTCGGTCCTGGCCTGCGATGGACCCGATGGCAACATCCACTGCCGCGCCTGCTACGGCAAGCTGTTCGGACCCAAGGGCTTTGGCTATGGCCATGCCCCCACTCTGGTGTCCACCAGTGGCGAGAGCACCATCCAGTTCCCCGATGGCCGTCCGCTGGCCGGACCCAAGACATCAGGCGGATGTCCCCGATGCGGATTCGCTGTCTTTGCCGCCGAGCAGATGATCAGCAAGACCCGGATTTGGCACAAGAGATGCTTCTACTGCTCGGACTGCCGGAAATCGCTGGACTCGACGAATCTGAACGATGGCCCCGATGGCGACATCTACTGCCGGGCCTGCTATGGCCGCAACTTTGGGCCCAAGGGTGTGGGCTACGGTCTGGGCGCGGGCGCTTTGACAACGTTCTAAACGAGTTTACTTATATTTACACCTATATTCGAACCCCACATCCATGTCTGTGAACCGTTCCGATACTTCTGTCTAATGACCTATCTGTCTTAACACTAACTATCCCAGAAATTAGCTAACTTAGTCTTCGTTTGCTTCCAACGATTTTTGATCAACGAAAACCATTTTTCTTTAGGTTATGTGAGAATATAAGCTTAATATGAAACAAAAAAAAAAAATAAATAAAAAAATTAAAACTTTCATATGAAAAAGTGAAACCAAAAGAACTTACGACTCAAAGCGAAAGCGAAACTAACCATCGAACAACAAAGACTAACGATCCTAACTACATAAACGACATCAAACACAACGAGAAAGGCTAACTATCTGCAGGTAGTACAGTCACCGCAATTAGAAAGACTATAACTTTCTGGCAGGTACAGTCACCGCAAGAGGCGGCGGCTGAGAATATAATAACGATGGAAATGAAGCAAACTACTGCGAGCCAAAGTCGTTTATTACTTAACTTTTTTTGTATCACTATATATATTTTCGATGACCAGGGCCAAGTATGTCTTAATGCTCCAAAACCGACAAAAAAACCCCAAGAAGCATACTGTGTGCGGAAATGTTGACAGATTTTATATACATACTTTATACGCGATGAACTATGAACGATGATGAATGATATGATATATAATGTTGTATACTCTTAGCTGACTTAGTTCTTACGATATATACACCTATGAAACTCTTGATTATTTATAACGTATTTCTCATCACACTCTAATCTTGCTTGCATTCTGATTCGGATATATAAACTATGATATATATCAGCATACATACTACACGCATAACATCCAATAATATAATATATGCCCCAGTGGGTTCCATGAAAACAAAACGATTTCGAAATTGTTTTTTCGTAGTTTTTAATTGATTTAATTGGGTGCGCATACCGTGGCATCTACTAGATGGATGCCTGCATTGCGTACCAGGTGAGAATGGCTACTTGGTGGGTGGACACGCATCGGTATGGTTACGGGGTGGAGGATACGGTTAGGATTGAGCCACTTCATCTGCGCTATATATAGACCATTTCGACCGACAAACATTGTGAAAAATATAATTGCTCAACATATATGCAGGCACCGAAAGTTCTCGGCAAGAGATCTCCTTGTGTGTGTGCGAGAAAAACGATTCAAAATGTTCCATAACCGTCTATCCAAATGATTTTCTAAATATAAATATGACACAGCTGACCCAAAAGCTTTTCACATCGCACTCAAAGAACACTCTTTCGCTCAAGAGAGGCATTTAAGAGAAAATTCTAGGAAAATCCACTTGTTTATACTATATCCTTTTACTTGTAGTATCTATAATGTTTATAACACGTGCTCATGCCTGGTCCGATAAAGCTGTATAATACGTGAATCATTTGAGATAATTATTTCAGGGTGATAAATGGGAAGCAGTACTTACTGACGGGAAAGATCACCTAGCACTTAGTTCACTAGCTCCTAATGCATTCTCGGGGCAAGAAATAATGTCGAGCACTTTGGAACTAAGACATCTGAGGTCTCCCTGTGCACCCACTTGTGTCTGCATTATTCACATTTCTATAAATTCCTTGGCATCATCCAAAACAACGTATCTAGTAGAGATGCCTCTCAACATTCTCCGTGACGTTGACCACGAAAATACATACTACGTTGCCATGGGGTTTCGCCAAAACTAAATAAATAAATCTTTTTATTTTTGTTTGTTTCAATAAATATTAAATAAATCGCCTTCAGCCAGGTGTGTTGTATGTTAGTTTTGGTTTTCGCAATGATATTTATAGACCTTCATAGTCACCGTCTATTTTCGAGTGTTTCGTTTTTCAAATTGTTTCGCATATGACACACGAATGATGATGAACGTACAACAACAATGCAAATATTGTTGATATCTAAATATACTTGAATATAATATATATATTATTGTATATATATCGTCTTTCTAGTAGGTAATTTATGTTTAATGTCTGCCAATGGTTCAATGGTGCGAATAGATTTATGCCTTGTTGAAATATTACGACTATTTGTATACCGCATCGAGAACACGATTATGACTGGAAGATATAGAGCATATGTGTGTCGATCGTGTTGATTTTAAGATCACGGAAGACAAGTGCAAGGTTCTCCAGGGGTTTGTTGTTTAGATATAACAGAAAAGGAGGTTGATTGATTAAATCAGGAAATGACATAAAGTGCAATCAAAATTAAATGATATCCATTGCACTGCGTGTGACGTGACTGGCGTGCATTTACCAGTCCAAGTTATTGATTTCACATTACAATAGTGTCACCATAATTCGCGGGGGTTAGACCGAACTCAAACCACATCGAAACGGAAGCTTGTTTTGGCCACAACAGTTTGTCAGTGGCCCACTGCTGTGTTTCAGTTTAGCCATCAATTTTTGAACCTAGCCACGGGGGATTGCTTGGGAATCGAGTAGAATAAGGGGTTCGGAATCGAATGAAAGGACCTCATGCTGATGGTGGTGCAAATGCTCGAAATGGTGGAAAGTTTGCCAGCTCAGGATGGATATGGGTGGGTGATTATTCATAAACTCTCGTCTGTGTCGATTATGAGCGGTTGTCAGAAGATGAACAAAAGCATTCATCGAATGAAAAAATATTTTATATCTTAAAATGACTTTTTTATTTTTATTATTTAATTTTTTATTTTGTTTTTTGTATCCTTGTATCCTGCAAATATTAAATGCAAGCCCATAAGGGAGAAACCAGCCCTGATCAAACTATATTAGTACCGAGGTAGGAATACCCTCTATTACTCACAGATGGTGTTTATTATAACCTTGGAAGGAATGTTATATTTTCAGTCAGAAGTTTGTATCACTATGAAGGAGTCATTTTCGACTATATAAATCATATATATTCATAATCAGATCTAGCCATTTCCGGTCAAAATTCTAAAATGTTAAACAATTGACAAAAATCTTAAAATTGAGTACGCAGATTTATTTACCTAATAAAAACTAGCATTGCAAAGCTTTCGGAAATAAATTTAATTCATTTTTGGCTTAGTTATGAGTTTTTTAAACTTTGATTTGTAGAATAAAATGTCACATAAAAAAATTGATTTAAAAATTGCGAATATTTTAAGCTTAGTTAGTTAGTTAGTTAGTTTCCGATTTGATCCTTAAGTCCATTGCAATCTGCAAGGGTATATAAAGTTCGGCTTCTCAAAGTTGTTTCCTATCTTGTTCATTATACTGTTATCCCCTGTACTGTCTCAATTATGAGCGGTTGTCAGAAGTCTCGACTTTTGGGAAAAAAAAAAATGGGAATTACAATTACAAGAAGCCACTCCATGTGAGGATAAACGAAGGGCTGTGTTTTATGGTGTTACTGGTACCGTGTGAGGGTTTATTTTACGATCCCTCCCCTCCTTCCTTTTAAATAGCCATAAAAATCATTTCGACAAATATGCGTTTTCCTGGGGCAATTAATTTAGTGAATTCCTTTTAGCGGGAAAACCTGAAAGCCGGTCACCCGAGGCAACAACACCTTGTTTGGACTCGGGTGGGTTGTCGTCGAATTTATATTGAATCCCTGGGTCGGGTCGCGTGTTGCCTGAATTTGGCATAGTCATGGGTAGCGACACGTGTCCCGTTATTGCGTTTTATGGCCATGACTCTTGGCCGGCCAAGTCGCAACATTGATCTTTGAGTACAGTTACAGGAGCTGTTAATGCATATAATCCGTGTGTTGTATACTCATATACTGAACAATTCATAATTTATATCTTTTCTATACAATTTGGGGGCGGTGAACTCCAAGATAAAGATCTAATTTTGATTATTTATTGAGTTACAACTTCAACTGACAGCCAGAAGTAGTGAGTGCAGAATATGTTAAAAGTGCTTTTAGTAACAACTACATTCAATGGAAAGATTTATAGAAATTTAATATTTTGATACTTCTGGTTTTAATTACGAAAAAAAAAAAAACTTTTCTACATTCCATTTATACTTATTTCAAAAAATCATTCTAAATATTTTAAAACATTTTTTCATCTTGACGTTAAACGATAATAATTCCATTAAATGCGATTTCCCTTTTATCCGTTTTTCAGCTTTAATAGTTGTTATTTAACCACCCCAAAACCGAATACTCCCACGGTCTGGCTGCCCTGGTTGTCCTTTCAAACTGACACTTGTGCAAATATTTGGCTGTTGACATTTTTTTCCTTTCATAATTTGATTTTTGAAACGCTCAAACTTACCCTGATGTCAACATTTGTTGCGTACGAAATGGGTTTGCTTAGTGGCGTGTGCAAAGTTAAAAAACGGTGCCTGGCTCAATATTTGCCCAATTCATTTGATGTCTTGAGTGCTGGGAAAACCCATTTTCTGTGTTTTTTGTTTTCTTAATTTATTTAATGGGTTGAATGACCCGTCATCGTCGAGACTTTGGAGCATCATCACCTGTCTGAGCCCTGGGATTGCACTAATTAATGCATGTTTAGAGATGCTTTACGTTCAACGAGGGTCTGTTAATTAAGAATGCTAAATTTCTAGCCGCGGTGATAAAGAAACACTGTTAGTGGTTAACAGAACTGTTAACAGTATGCTACGAAACAGTAAAGCTTCTCCTTTACAGGTCCCAAATTCAAAATAGAATACCTTTATAACTGTTAAAAAAAATGAATAATTTATTCCACTGGCAACGGCGGTACCTTTTTCTGATTTGATTATTGCTGCGATGTTGCAACGGCAACATTTGTGGCGCACTGCCCCCCAACTTCCCGCTTAGACCGGGGCTCTAGCTGGATTTGTTTGTTTTGTAAAACAGGCACGTTCACCTGTCCCTGCCCCTGCCACCCTCAATTCGTTGCCGCCGTCGCCAGGTAAATGCCACTTAACGTTCATTTTTTTTGTTTTACCTATACCATGATTTTTTTGGGGGGCTTTTCGCATTCCCCGTTTATTTGCATCGCAAATTATGCTTGCTCTCTCCTTCACCAGCTGCACAATCTGTTTCTTCTTCAACTTCTTTTATTTATTGCCAATTGCAAACGTCTGCGGTGGTAATTCCTCCCCTCTCTCTTGCCCTTTATTTTGCTCTTCGTCTTCCTCCTCCTGTAAACACTGCCTTACAATTCAATTATTTTTCATTTTCCTGTTTTGTCTTCTTCAACCGTCTGTCTGGCAACTACAACAACAATAGCAACAGCAGCGATGAGAGTAGAATTAACCTGCATGCCGCAATCGCCACCCGCCTCCACATCCCCTATCTCACTCTCGTTCTCTCTCCCTCTCTCTTTCGTTGACAGACATTGCATAAACCAAACACACGCATA